TTTTTTTTTTTTTTTTAATAACATTCTTGGTCTTAATGTAACCAGTCCATCCCAATAATTTGAATAATATTTCAAGCTTGGCTGATTCAACAGGGTCACGACAGCAGAATGGCAGAGAGTGAAAGTTCTGGAACCAACTAGCCAGCTCTGCCACTTACCAACTATGAGATCTTTGGCTAGTTACTTAATTTCTCAGCAGCCCAATTGCCTCATCTGTACAATGGGGGAATAGGCAAACCTACTTAAATAGGCTCTTATGAGCACTGAATGAGCTAATACTTGTGAAATACTAAAAGAGCTGGGTGGCACATGGTAATTATTCATGAATTAGATCCAGATTCCTCCATGCAGAGCAGCCTAATGCATCTCTTGCAGGCTTCCTTTCTGTTTCTATAGAAAAGAATATTAAAAAAAATATAATTGTGAATTATGAAAGAGCCATTGGTCACATATTTATTATTATGCAAGTTATTATTGTAGTCATGTGAAAATTCATAATACATGACTTTATTATGTAAGTTAATACTAAATGAGTACTTGGTACATGGTAAGAACTGTAGAAGTTTCTTAAATAATATAAATTTAAATGTCTTTATGGGCTGGGTCTAGTTTGCTAGGTACTTGAAAACTGGGACTATGTGAGATGTGACAGGTGTGCTGGTACTCCAATCCATTCTGAGACAGGACCTTATGAAATCTACAGATGACAGTCACCTGAGTGTAAAAATTACATAAGAACCTAATTTCTCCTTTCTCAGGGAAGAGGTTTCCCTAAAAGATCAAGGATTGCTTGAATTGTAAGAATTTCAGGAAAAAGAAAAGAAAAAAAGGCAAGGCAAGGCAAAGGACAAAAAGACAAAGGCTCTGAGGGGGGAAGGGAGGGAAAGGGGGAGTGAAGAGAACAGAGCAAGGGCTCTGGAGCCAGTGACAACCACAAAGAGAGGGACCATTCCTGACCATCTTCCCAGTTTGTTAAGAGTCAGGCTCCAGCAGCCATTATTCAGAACTTTGAACATCTACTCAGAAGGAACAACTTTGATAATATATACATGCTGTATTAGGAATCTGAGTCCAAGGGAATAAGCTCTAAATTCCACTTTGAAATTTTTTTCTGAGTTCTTGTTCAGAGTATGACAAAGCTACTCCCTCACTATTATTTTCTGGCAGTTATGGAGCCCTCCTGGCTTCTATGCTTCCAAATCATAAATGGGAGTTTACACATATGATAGGAAAATGACCTCTGAAACTTCTGATTCAGGGTTTCCATTGTTGTGTACTTTCTGCTTTTCTTCAATATGGGGAAAGGGCAGAAGTAGCTCTTCCACACCCTCTGCTTATGGCAGCCTGCACAGATGCTTGTTCGCTTGTGAGGGCCCACCTAGCAGATGGGAGGCATCCAGCAGCAGGAGTTACCTAACAACCTGGTGAAAAAACTCCTGGCATCTAAGTCAGCGCATGCCTGCCTCCAGTGGAGCCACAGTCCCTGTCATCTACCGTGGTATTTTTTCTCTCTGCCATGCCACCCTCCAATTTATAGTCAATTAGTGCTTTATGAGGCTATAAAACTGAGTAAAGGAGGTCAATATAATACATGCCATGCTTGAGTAGTAAATTCCTACAAAGCTAATGATACTTTGAAAACTTTTGGCCATTTATTCTGAGATGATGTACCATCCTCCCTATCATCTGGGAAGAAAACAACATTCACTTTGAGTTCTCAAGGGATGCTTAGTCGGGGATGGCTTGGCCAGTGGCCTTGCTCACTGTCATTTGCAGTGGGCATTAGCAAGTCTTTCTGAGCATCGCAGCAATAGAAAGTGTCCATAAAACTAATTGGAAACATCTGAGTTGGCCTGAAACATCTCACTTTCATTAGGCCAGGGCTCTGGGTTCCAACTTGATATGAATCTATGAGCTTGGTGGGCTCCAGCAAAGCACAGAAGGAAACTGTCTTCTTCCTCCCAACTCCCCCTCCCCCCCCAGTGCTGTCCAAGTCATTTGGGTTAAATCATCCTTCCACCCCTCACTTGCTGTGGGACTTCTGGCAAGTAACTTAACATTTCTGAGCCAGCTTCCTCTCCCATATAATGGAGGAAATGAGATCTCCCCATATAATTCTGTGAGCAGTAAATGCACAGGTACTCAACAAATGGTCATTCTCTTCCCACTGTCCACCTTCCTGCCAGAAGAGGATTCTTTCCTGGCTCACTCTGATGCTAAATTGTCTCAAAAGGAGGGCTTACCCTTTTCCTGAGGTTCTTTCCATCATGCCATGTGTGGGAGGAGCCGCTGGAGTTCTCACTGCAGGTGCTCGAAAGAGACAGCTCACTGCTGCTGCAGCTGTTTCGAGGACAGAGATGACCAGGGATGACGATCCCCAAACCAGGGCATTTCAAAGCAGGGGCTCCTGATTTTGCATTCGGCTGGCATTCCTAAAAAAGAAGGACAGCTCTGAGCTAAGGCTTTGCTTAGGGGACAGTAAATACCAACTTGACATCACAGTGAGGTAGAAGCAAATGTAGCCTAGTGCTTAGAAGGACAGCTTTTGGGGTCAAACAGCCTAGAGGTCCAAATCTTGGCTCTGCCTCTTGCTAATATACTAGGAGGAATTATTTAATCCCTCAGAGCTACATTTGTTCTTAAAGTGAATAATGATACTATTATCATTACTGCCTACCTTATAGAGTTACCACAAAGACCAAATGGGGTTCTAGATTAGAAGCATATCACACAGTACCTGGCCTAAGTAGGTACTTGATTATGACGAACTGCCATCACAATGGCAGAAATATCACAATGGTAATTTCCCACTTTCTCCAGTCAGATGGGTCAAATAATCAGATCCATATCAAGCCATGACCAATGGCACAAAAGAATGAAGACAGAGTAGCATTTTTGGCTGTAGGGTTCAAGAGCATGACCACTACACTGGGAGTTTAGTGACCTGGATCTCAGGCTGCATGTTGCCCCTGGCAGGAGACACTGAGTAAAGAAAGCATTTAACTTCCATGCACCTCAAGGTCTTCCTTTGTGTGTATGGGGGGGGGGGGGGGCAGTTCCACCAGATTGTTCTCCTGGCCCCGCACACAGCATCATTCTGAGTCAGGAATCAAATACCCGGGAAGTCATGTCTAGTGGCACATCAAACTGAGGAATTAGGAGGTACTGTTGGAAAGGTTATGGAACTTTCCATATCATTTGGCCGTCTAAATGGTAAAGACTGCCACATCAACTAGAACTGGGTTCCATGACGAAGACCCAGGTGGGGGCACAGGTGACAAAGTTGTAAACATCTAAAGCACATCCTGACAGCCATATTCTTGGCCCCTAATGTAATAGATGAAGCTCCATGAGCTGGACAAGCTAAATTAATTTAGCATCCTGATCACGAGAAGAGAGTCTCTCCATTACCGTCTCATTCCACTCTCCTATCTATATAAAGCTTTGTCTCAGAAGCTCTTTGATGGGGAACCATCTGTCTTTGTGTCATTCACAGAATGGCAAAGCCTCTTACTTATGCAATTTATTGACACTTTATGGGTGCCTTTATTACCTGAGTACTTATCACTGTTCTCCAAATGCAATTCCAGCTGACAGTGACTAAATCCCCACTGGAGGAAGGAAAGGCATGCTGTTCTGGGAGTACTCAGGGAACATGCTAACCCCCCGCATAAGTACAAAGGGTATATTTAATTTCCTCTCTAATCAATATCCATAACGCTTAATAAGGTTAGGTTTTCAACATCAAGCATTTGCCTGCTATCAATACTTCATTTTTGCTGCATAACAATCCCTTTAAGTGATCTAAATATGCCAAGAAATTTTACTATTCCATCCCCCACCCCCGAAATTTGTCTCTAAATAGCACTGAGAGGAGAAACTTGTCTAAAAATTCAGCATTCAGCAGTATCTGTTGATTTATGACCTTGTTACTGCTGCATGTAACTTACTTAAGGAGAGTTTATTATTTGTACCTTGACAGATGTCTACAACCAGTAGTGCTATTGCACAGGTTGCCTGACATCGACACTTGGGCCACTGTGTACATCTAGGACAAACTTTCAGAAGTAACACATTACACTCCCCTTCTACTCGTGCACTTTCCTATTTTCACCATCCCCAAACCTCTTTCATATTTTATTGCTTGAATAAGTAGGGTGGTGGTTTTATTTAGGACTGCCTCTGCTCTGACAGACTGGTCTGTTCTCCAGAGGGAGAGTGTGACTGTGTCCTGTGAGACCATCTAGATCTAAATTTTTCTTTTTTCTTTTCTTTTCTTTTCTTTTCTTTTCTTTTCTTTTCTTTTCTTTTCTTTTCTTTTTAATGTTTATTCATTTATTTTGAGAGAGAGAGATCTGGGAAGAGGCACAGAGAGAGGGAGAGAGAGAATCACAAGCAGGCTCCGCATTGTCATTAAGTAGCCCAACATGGGGCTGGAACTCATGATTCATGAAATCATGACTTGAGCCGAACTCAAGAGTTGGACACTCAACCATCTGTGCCACCCAGGTGCCCCTGATATAAATTTTTCTAATGGCCCTTTTCACACTCTGCATGGCTTTCGGTTACCGTTTGTACTCTACCTTTTCTCGAAAAACCGAAACTTCCATGATTTCCCTCTGTCTTTCCCACCTATTCCTTCCAACTATACCTATCAAAATTATATCTATTTTTACAGCTCAACTCCATTCCCAGGACACTTTTTACAAATAAGCATCCTTGCCCAGTTGTTTCCCATGTGTGTACCTCCTGTATGGATGCTGGATTAAGATGACAGGGAATTTAACCTCAGAGCTACCAAAGGGAGGAACTGCTGCATCTGCCTTTGACCATGAACTTGAGATGAGCAGATGTGATGGAGCATACTTCAGGGAGGTGGAGAAGACCTATTACTGTCATATAGAGGCCAGTGGGGTTGGGGGTGCTTAAGCAGAGAAGTACCTTCCAAGTCAGGCTTCTCATACTTCAATGTGTACATGTATCATCTGGGATCTTGTTAAATGCAGATTCTGAGTAATTCTGAGGTGGAATCTGATGTGTAGTATTTTTGACAAGTTCCCGGGTGCTTCTATGCTGCTGTGCCAGGACTTTGAGTAGAGGGTCCCTAGGGGAAGGTATGAAAGAGGTCTACCTCTGATGTGGGTTGCTTGGTAGCAAGTTGTATTACCACACGGCCTGACCTGGACTTTGGAGCAGGATGAAGGGAATGGTCTGAGCCTACCCATGGACCAGTGGAGTGGGGAGAGACTATGCATATGTGTGTAGGGGGGTGGGGGGGGGAAATTTACAGGGTAATTCCTTAAAAGAAGAGGAAGGGTCAGTCCTCCATATTGGATATTCTCCCATATTTCCCCCACATTAGACAATCAATATTTGAAGTTAATAAGGGACCTAGAATCTCTTACATCATGGCTGCAATGCGAGCTCCTTTTTCCTGAAGTCTCCTTCATCAGCAAATGATTATCAAGCAGGATTATTTACTCCAGTGAATAACTAACTGTTGTGTGGTTGAGTGCTTGAACTCTAAGGCCATTTATTAGGTTTAAACTCTGGCCCTTCCACTTGCTAACTCCTTAACCTTGAGAAAGTTATTTAACCACTACATGCCTCAGTTTCCTTATTTGTAAATGGAGATGATGAAAGTACATATCATACAAGATCACTGTGAAATCTGGACAGCCCCTGGCATACAGCAATGCTTAGTAACATTTAGGTGTTGCTACTATTTTTTTTTTTATATACGTGTGTCTTGACTCTCAAACTAAATCACAAGTTTACAGTCTCCCTAAGAGACTCTATGTTATACTTTCTTGTGGTGCCAGTATTGTCTGATACCTTGCACACAGGAACTGGACTGAGCAACAGCCAAAAGTGTGGGTGCCCTTTATTTCTGGGAATTATTGATATGAAGTTCTGGAGAGATATACTAGCAGATACTGCTCTTTGTTATCATTCCCCATCTTTGCCACGGTGTTCTGTGGCTGTGGCATAGTGCCGATTATGAAGAACAGAAGAGCGCTAAACGGCAGGAATCTTATTATTGCCCCAATACGGTTGGTGGGTACTGTGGTACATGAATTTTATATATTGTGGGATTTCATCCTCACCACGATTCTCAGAAACAGAAAAGAAATATCATTATGCTCATTTCTCAGATGGGGAACTTGAGGCACAGTGGTATTGCTGTCTTGCGTAAGGTTACCAAGCTAGTACAACATTCTGAAGTCAGGCCCACATCCTAGCCATTATTCTATGGCACCAAGTAAGGACCTTAACAATAAGCAGAAATCCTGGACATATACAGACCATAAAGTACCCAACAGGGAAGAGATCTAATTAGCAATAGATGATTATTATTAAAAAGATTTTTGGCCCAAAAAATGTATAGTGGTTTCCACTGTAACATTATCTTAATTATGTTGACTTCATTGGCAAAATACACCCCTTTTGCACTAGTCGAAATTTTTTTTCTCATTGTGTATTTTAGATTACTACCTTGGGTGACTCATGCTTTAACATCCTTAGTGTGAGAAATACAAACAAAATCTGTAATTAAAAAAAAAAAAAATAAGGAGAGAGGACTGTCTACCCTAGAGAAACCGGGACAACAAGTTTTTGTTTCCTAGAGAAACCGGGACAACCTGAGGGGCCATAGGTGGGTGATTGCAAACTAGGGGAGATAAAACGGGCTGTGTAGGCATGGAGAGGAGGGATCCCCTTCTGCAGAGAGACAAAGGGAAGAGAAATTGTGGCTGGGGAAGCATAGGACTGTATCTGGACAACACAAAAAACATCAGATCGGGATGGAAAGAGATCCCATCTGTAACTGCAGGTTAGAGGATCTCTAACTGCAGATCCCATCTTTGGACTGGGGCTGGTTGCCCTGTTCATGCACCTGGTGAGGAGGGAGCCACCTCCAGGTTCGGTGGCAGATCAGGGGCACGGTCCACAGCAGGAGAAACCGGTCCCCTCCCCTGAAGTGCTGTGGCACAGGACAAAACCAGCCAGGACCACATATCAGGAGGCGCTTCCCCAGTACCGGGGTGCACAGAGAGGGAGTTTAAATCCCAGCCAAGCACCAAGGCCACGGAGTCGGAGGAGTGAGACAGACAGCCTAGTCTGTGCCCATGGCATAGTAAGGACGGCTTCAAAGGAGTGATTTGGGACACCAGGTCGTGGAGGAGACACTGGGGGGTTGCCATTTTTCTCCCACCACCACCAAGGTGGGGGTCTCAGGGAACTGACCTCGGGTCTCAGTGGAGGTGGGGCCTGTCTACACCAAACCACGCCCCTCCAAGCCAGGTAACCGTGTATCTACTGGAGTGGGATAGACATTGTGGAACCAGACAGACCCCCTCCTCCAGACCAGTGCTTCTGCATTGCCTGGATTAATTCTAGGACAATTCTCACTATATAGATATATTCTTCCTTC